CGGAGAGAAAAAGTTAGAAATGGTTAGGGGAAGGGGAGGGAATGTATTTTTAAATTTAAAAAAGGAACAACTGGGGTTTTTGCTATGCTATAGATATAGGTAGATCTATATCTATATATACCACCTCTGAATAATACAATAAAGGATTGACTGATTTGTATGCTCTTAAACGAAGAAAATCAAATAGAAAGCATACAAAACACCAACTGCCGCTGAACTGTATGCCTTTTGTGAAAAGTAAGGTTTCCTTTATATATAAAGTGAGATTTCTTATGTATGAAGGAAACTTTACTTTTCTGAAAAGGTATACAGTTCAGTGACAGTTGATGCTTTGTATGCTTTCTATTTGATTTCCTTCTCTAAAGACCATGGAAATCAGTCAGTTCCTTATATTATTCAGAGGTGGCATCATCATAGTGTTGTATTGTAATTCTTTTATGTAATTCAATATATGTATGTTATATAAGTACATAAAATAAAATGATAAAGTTCAGTCAGCTGCAATTGCTTATTGAACTAACTGAGTAACATTACTCAATTTTCACTAGCTGAGTAACATTAATGAAAACCTATTGAGCTTCTAAATGTTTATAGGAACTGTGAAAATGTAAAGTATGTTTTGTAATTATAATGTAGCATATTACCTATTAATCACTGGATAATATGAGAGTGCTAAAACTTATTTTTGTTCTTAAGACAGCATTATCATTATTACTATTTATCATTTGTACTTCCATTTCCACCTAGATTCACTGGCTAGAATAAAAGAGCTATTGTAACAGATAGTAACAACATGGATAAAATAGAATTCATATCTACAGAACTTTCATTTTAACTAAGACAAGATCAAGTGCAACAAACACAGGAAGAATCAGGGAAAGGAAGGAGGAAGAAATGATCCTTCTTCCAGTGTAGTGGTTCTTATACCTGTTTAAAACTGAGCATGTCTCACAAACCACCTTTCCCTGATGCATGCCTCCAGCATGTTTCTATTTCATCTCTTTATGCAAAAAGTTAATTCCTGGAAAACTCTTACTGTATATTTATATTTATGTAATGCAGTTTGGCATCTAGAAACAGAAGAGCATCCAGTATTACTGATCAGCTGCTTATGAAACACTTGTAAGGAGGGGGTTACCAAGAAGCAAGAAACTTTGGTTTTGTTCCTGGCTTACTGTCTTGGGCCTTTGTACATGACACAAAATTGGACTTTAAGGTGGCTTAAATGCCCATTTGCACTGCTTTAATGGTGTTGCTGTTTGCACGCTCGGCAGCGTATTCCACTTTACATGACTTTGGTATGTAACAAAATAAAATGCCTCCAAGTTGTTTTAGTTTGCTACCTGCTACCTAACAAAGTGCAACAGTGCACAGGGCGCTGGAAACCAACATGCTCAGGCATGGCAGGACCCGTGCACCTCAGACTGTGAGACCCAGCAGCAGCCCATGCAGGCAGGCTTTACTGAAAAACAAACAAACCTGGTGAGTCTGATTTTTTTTCTCCCCAGAGCCTGCCTGCCTGAGCTGTGTTGGGGCCCGGTGCTTTCCTCTGATGCTGCAGGGGGGCCAGTGCTTCCCTCCATGGCTGCGGCACTCCCCGAGACTGCCCGGGGAGGGTGCCCACCAGCAGCTCGCCCCTCCCTGCCCCCTGCCGCTGAAGAGGCAGGTAAGGATTGGGCCACCACCCTTGTGTACATGCCACAGGGGTTTAGTTTGGCTTAACTGTCCCTAAATTGAAGCAGTGTTTAATAAAACCTTCTGTGTCAATTTAGGGACAACTAAACCAAATTAAACCCCTGTGGCATGTATAAGCACAGCTTGATTTTGGTAAAGATCTTAATCCTGTGGTGCCTTAGCTACCTGACAAATATTACATTTATGGTGAGATTAACATCATTTTTGGTATAATTAAAGTGTTCATCATGCCATAAATTGGAGCATGCCAAACATTCAACCAAATTATGGCAAAATAAAATGGCAAAACATATGCGGAACATCTTTGTGACTGCTTTGTATGGCACCTTAAACTGAATGTGTCACATATATTCTAGACCAAGGGCTTGTTGGCAATTGAACAGTAGCCCCAGGCAATCTCAGGTCTGGGTTTGAGACCTGGAGCTGCCTTGGTCCCATTGCTGATATTCAGCTAATTGTCGGCATCAGACCTGGTACAACCAGGCTTAGGATTGCCCTTGGTAATGCCAGCATTAGTTGATCATTGGTATCATTCACTGTGCAACACTGGGGTCTGGGAAAAAGTTGCCCTCCTCCCTAATCCATAGGATTGGGCTGGGGGCAGCCCCAGGACAAGGTTTGGCCCCAGCAGCCATGTGATTCAGATCTGAGGAAGGTTATGCCCCATCCCAGAAGTCCCATGTCCTGTCACATATTACTATATTTCTGGGATGGGGCATACAATTCCTCAGGTCCTAGTCATGTCATTATATTAACAGCTGCCAGGTCGCCATTAGTTTCACCATAAACTAAGTGGTGGAAATAATATATTTTACCTGTTCTTGTGATTGTGATAACTAATGACCAATATTTGCCAGCTATTTTGAGATGCCTGGTTAAAAGACACTCTGGAGGTACATCTATAGATGTGCCTGACTGAAAAGTAGATTAATTAGCTCTGTAGTAAAGCATCACCTTCTACATGTGTACCAGTGTTAGGAACATTAAACTAATTAACTCTAGTGTAGGATAGTACTATGTTATGTCAGAGTACTTTACTGTGCCAAAATGCAATGTAGACAATGACCAGGGGTGTCAATCGTGCCCAGTCAGCCCAGCCAGCCAGGGCCTGCTGTGCCCCAGCCCAAATTGCTGCTGTCCCACGTACACACATAGATGTCATAGATGTCAACCCAAGAGCAGTTGACTCCAGCTCAGTCCACTCGGGAGTTTAGTGGATCACACTAATTGCACGTGTAGATGCACCCTGTAAGTGCAAACTTGGCAGGAATCATCCTGCCAAGATGTGGTGTTAACATCTTCCCACTCTTCCCCTCTCCCCCGCACTAATTTTCCAGCATATATCTACACTGTTCTGACAGAATTGCATTAGTCTGGAATTCATATTTGACTATAATGTTTTTCCTTCTGAGAACTAAAGAGAAACATTTTTTTTTCTTTTTATACAGACACTGTGAAGAAGAGTAAAGAGTTCCAGGGCAAATGGAAGAAAAATCCTGTACCTGGCTTCTCCCTTATTTCTCTTTTGGACGGGGATAGAAAAACACAAAGACCAACGGAGCTGCAGAGGGAGGGGTTGTGATGAAATGTATAATTTCCAGTGAGTGGCTGACAAGAAAGTTAGCAATATTTCCTCAAGAAAATGAATATACCCATCTCCTTGTTTTAGATCAAGATTCAACCTTTCACAGAATTTCTCAGGCTGTTACAACAGTCTAAAAATATTAAGACTTTGGGCCATGCCATAGCTTTGATAGTAAATATTTCACCATTCCACTGACACATGTCTGGCAGTTCAGAAATTATATTAATAATGACTGCATGTACCAGAAACTGAATAAATGAGGAACAGAAAGCTCCCAAGGTAAGTTGCAAAGACAGAAAGTTCTGAGACCAGAGAGGTAAAATGAGTCAACTCACTTAATTTCAACCATCAGGCAAGCCGGCAACAGAACCTGTCTCTCTTGTGTCCTTATCTAGTGGTGTTCTAATCCCTTATGTTACAATGCTTCCCAGAAATAGTATAAAATTCAAAAATACAATTCCTATGGTTACATTAACACTGCCACCTTTCTTACATGCATCCTGAGTAGATCTCTGATAAGGGCTACGTGATGTATTCTTCAGCATTTCTATTTGATATGTTCACAGCTCCTCTTTGCAGTTTAATAGTTTTACTATCACTGAAAGGAGCTCCCTGTTAGGGAATACTCAGTGAGCTCTATCTATCTGCTTGTAGCATTTCTCATTAAGAGTTAATTTTGTAGTGGAATTAAATTATAAACCACGTCTAAACAAATCAACATCAAACTATAACCAGGTGCAACTTGCTTTCAGCAGAAGCACGATTTCAACCCAGGACTGTTTTTTTTTTCTCTCTGTGTAGCATTTAATTCCAAAGGAACTAGTGTGATTGCTTTCTAGATTCATTTTGAAAATCATTCAGCTTGTGAAATAAACAGACATATAAGCTTAGTGATTTACTTGGAAGGATGACATTTAAATTGCTATTGATCTGCAGAAAGTTGAGCCTGCATGAAAGGGGAAGGAAAAGTTGTGCACTAAAGGTGGACACACAAGTTTAGATATATAACAAAACTTCTTGGAAAAATCTCTTTGGCGTGTCAGAATTCATAATCTTTTCTTTATTTATTTCAGAGAGGCATTGCTGCTAAAGGACATTTTAGACTGCTGCTTAATTAAAAGTTAAGCTAAAGAAAGAACATTTATCATGGGTCTAAAAGTTAATTTAGAAATACTGCTGTATTATATTAACAATACAAGATATCAATTAAGAATATATTTTTAAAATCAATCTTAATCTTAAGAAGTCTAGTTTATGTGTAGTTTCCCAGGCAGTCTAGTAGCCCAATTGGTAACACTATGCACTATACTGAGAGATAGCTGGGTTTGATTCTTGTTCTGAAGATTTACTGTGTTAGACAACAGGTGGTAAGATTACTCTGGATGCACTGGGCTAGCATCATGTTTACAAGAGGCAATGCCATGTACTGTTCAAGAGTAATATATTCAGACACTTAAAGAGTGCCTCTCAAAGTACCCTTATCTTGGAAGCTCTCCAGTATTCGGGCAGTGACCTTGATGTATTCTGTTCAACAAGAAGTGAAATTCTTTATACAATGTTATGTTCTCCCCTTGTCTTCAGTGATCATGCAGGTATAGTGTATGATTATTTAGCATCCACTATGATTAACTGCAATTTTTAAAAGTGCTTTTGACTGCTAAACTTCTTCTGTGATTTTTCTCATCCCTACCACAGTAGGAGCTGAATACCACCCCAAGAGTTGTGGAATATAAAAATTAAATATAAAACATATGCAAATATAAAAATATTTCTTAATTCTCAACCTACAGGAATCATAGTTATGGTGAAGTAAGGTTGGAAGGTACCTCATCTAGTCCAATCCCTTGCTCAAGGCAACAGGAGGGAGAAAAAAAAAAACGTTGTTTCTGGTGCAATATGGTCACTGACAAAGTTCATAAGTATGGGAAAAAACAAAACACCTCTACTCTGCAGTTCAGCCTGGGAACCTCGAGCACTAACTCCTTACACCTGAACTGGAGAGTCATAGCTTCCCTTTCTGTCATTCTGTTCTGTCCATGAACTTATCCCAGTTCCTTAATCTTCCTTTATAACCAGGCCATCTGTGGAGCTCTTCTTCATTCTCTTGCTGCTGAGCGTGATTGTGACAGATCATGCCCCTCCACCCCAGCAATGTCCCCTGGTGTGCCTGCTGCCCTAGCTCAAGTCCTGCATGCACAAGATTGATTAGTTCATTGAATGTCTATGAATGTTAGTGTATATGTGTCGCATGTGTATACAATTTACTGAGGAAAATCAAAGAACCAAGTCTTCCATTTAGATTTCAGAATTGGGAGGCCTGTGAATACTTTTCTCTTTTCTGCATTGTGATACTTGCTTCTTCCTTTGGCACCTCTCACTTTCTTATTGCACTCCTCGTTCCTCACGTTGTTAGCTTCTCTTACTCAGGGGTGCTCAACCCCAGCCCACAGAGCTGTGATCTAGCCCCTGGAGCTCTCTAAAGGTCCAGAAATTTGGTGGTGGGTGGGAGAGGGGAGAGGGGAGTGGGATTACTAGCAATTAAGACTGCCACCGTTCCCCCACTGTCATATTTTCAAGCTCCATGGGCTTGAGCATGGTATCCAACAGCACACAAGTACCAGGGGCTGGGCTGGTATGCCCAATTTGATGCAGGCCCAGGGCCATTGCCACAATATGGTGTGCCTGGGGCCTGATCCAGAGTACACCACCTTGGGCCCCAGCCCCTTGCCTACCCAGTTGGGCTACAGATTGGATCTGGTCCACAGACTCACCAAGTCCTACTCATCCAGCTCATAGGGCCAAAAGTTTGGGCACTACTTCTCTAACTCAATTCCTTTTGCCCTTCTTACTATTAACTTTTTTCTTTTCCATGCATTGCACTATAGTTCTGCTAATACACCATGCAGATATATGTTCTGACTTTTACCCCCCTTCTCTGGAAACACCTGATTATAAATGAGTAATGGATAATGGACTAGAATATTTTATATGGTAAAGTTATAGGTTGAGCAATTTCAAGTCCCACTGTTTCCATTTGATGTTTTGAGAGGCCAGCAATTGTGAAAATAAGACCCAAAATGTATAAATCATTAGAACTGTATAGGCTTTTAAACATACAAATACAGAAAACCCATCCAATCAGTAGCTTCTTATGTCAAAATGTTGACCCCATTGTTGCATGATAGTAAAACGTCACATTTCCCTGAAACAGAAGGGGAGAAATGGAGAAGGGAATCAAGATGTGCAAGTCTTTTCTGCTTTCAATATACCTGAATTGAGTTAAATGGGACAGGAGTATCCTTTTGTACCTGTGTTTACAATGCCAAGCAAGAGGACCTTGACTGGACATTCTAGGCAGCTTTGCAATAGTCCAATAAAAAGATTTCATTCCCCTCAAATCTTTGCCTCCCACAACATACACATAGAGGTTGTGACAGTAAAATGCTCAGCTCATTCGTTTCCTTTCATTTTGTAATGCACGAGTTTAAAATGTTGTATATTTTGGAGACACTTTACACTTATCTTTCATTTAGACATAGTAGAATCCTAGTGCAATTTGCCTGGATGGCATTACTAAAAAGTGTCCGAAGCGTTACCTAATTTACTTTGATGGAAACAGAAGTTAAAATGCTAGGAAAATGTGAGAATGAAAAGTCAAACTGAAATGACCTTGTTTTAGTGGGATTCTGGAATGTGAGGATGGTAGAATATGAGATATTAATCAGAGAGGGAGAAGCTGTTATACTATTGCAAAGATACATTGATGTACTGTACAAATGAATGGTGATGAGATTTTTATTACCCACACATTTATTTTATATCTTAAGTGGGATGAGGCAATTGACTAACTAATGAGATCTTAATGGGAGTAGTGGTCAAATGTAGAGGAGTGTAACTGTGTCTTGATTTAGTCCAAGTGTGCCTGTTCAGAAATACAAAGTCACTATGGACTTTCCTTTTAACATTATAGACCTAGAGTTGACATCCTACATTTGCATTATCAGTCTGAGATAGGAACCAAGGAGCAATGTGGGAAATAATTTCAAATAGAAGCATTACTGGCAAATATGATACAGTAGATGCTTTCTTCATTTGGCTATTTATTTTTAGTCTGGCTATCTTTACCAGTTGCCACTGGTCTCTGATTTCTCTTCATTTTACTTCCCAATTAAATAATTTTTCTATTGCAAAACCATTTTGTTTCCTATTATCCACTAGCCTCTTCTGATAATTGCTTATTACTCCATCTTCCCTGGTCATGACTGGGCATCTCCATGATGGCTTTCTGTGTTTTTTACTTGCGTTTTCTTCAGCCTGGCTTCTTATCTCAGATGAGATAGTTCAGCAATGGTTAAAAAATCTTACAGTAGTAATTTTATTTGTATTTTAAAGTGCAAATCCTAATATCTACTATCCTATTTTCATTAATTAGCTGAATTGGTGCATCATTTTAAGATGTTATAAGGCACAGTGAAAGTGAATATCAGGGAAAAAAAGCTCCTTTAAAAAAGAGAAAGAAACTCTTGCAGGGTATCTAAATTAATTACTAGAATATTACAAACTCATGTTCCAAGTCTTAATTAAAATCATTAGTTGAAGGCATTATGGGCAGAAAGGCAAAAAATACTGAGTGCCGATTTCTAATGAGCATAATTAATTACATGAACTAATTATAGAGGGCTATAGCTTATATTCAGAAAAGGGCATGGTCAACAAAAGTGGTATATTGGGATAATACCTAAATACTGAAATCTAAGGGTGTGTCCACACATGCAGGCATGTGAGCTTGTAGCAGCTCAAATAAGAGCAATACACATTTTTGCTGGGGATTTTTGCCTCAGCTCATGTGCCCGGACACGTACTTTGGTGTGGGGCAAGTTGTGCCACTTGGGGCAAACCCCACCCCGGCCAACTTCTCCTGGATCTGCAGCCAGGGGAGCTAGAGCCTGGGGCCAGCACCTGTCTGGCTCTAGCAGTATAAAAAGCTGCCCTGGCCAGCAGCTCAGGTTGCTTCTAATGCCCAGCCAGTTGGTATCTGGGGACACTAGCCCCTTGTGCCAGCTGGACTGCCGAAGCAACCCTAACCTGAAGTGAATCCTGCACTCTCTACACATTGCAGCGGTCTGGTAGTGGGTGGGGGCTGCTGCCTGGCTGTGACCTGCTGCCACCTGCAACAGCATCTGCCCCCTTGGACTTGTGGCTCCATGCCTGCTAGACCTGGATGGGGTGCCCCCTCTCTGTCATATGGGCAGCTATCGCCCAGAAGATGTGCTTGTTGTGGTGGCCTGCTTTGTACTGTCAAAGCATGTCCTCTAGGCCCCAAATGGCCAAGAGGTCAGCCACATCATATGCCCTCCAGCTGGGTCCCCAGTGCTGGTCCCAGACCGGCTCTTCTGCCCAGGTCTCACCACTTGTCTCACTAGCAGAGATCCTGTTCACAGGGACCGCAGGCATGACATGCGGTCCCTGTGAATGGCACTGGGCCCTGGGTGAGAGCCCAAGCGGCTCAAGGCTGCAGAAAGGTGCATGGCCCCATGCCATATCACATCAAGCCAGGCCAGACCTGCAACAAGCAGCACAGGAGGTGCCAGCTCTGAGGGGCCACACCGCACTGTGGGGGCTCTGGCTACAGTGAGCCCTGAGTGCTCCATGGCTGCTGTTGCTGTGGGGAGGGGGCTGTGGGCCCTGCAAGGGACTCATACCCCCTGACCAGCCCCCCTGACAGCCCCCACACATCCACAGCCCCCACCCCAACAATCCCCACCACTGCCAGTCCCTACTTACCAGGGACAACGCCTGGGTCACACCACCTTGCTCCACTCCTGCTTGCCCTGCAAGCAAATTCAGTGTGTTAGGGCAGCAGGGGGCACCATAGATACACTCTGGACAGATGCCAGAGTATCTCTGGAGGTCTGAGCTTTGGCTTGCCTGTGCTGCTTTTGTCCGGGGTGCTTTTATTTGATACCTGGAAATCCAGGTATCAAATTTTGAGCCCTTGCTGCAAATATGCAGTGCAGGGAACATTTTTTTAATTGGATCACTGTTCCATTTCAATTCAGCCAAATCTGTTCGACGCTGTTTCAGTGATTCGGCCATAGGCTATGAGGAACCACTAAAATGCCTGTAACATTATCATTTCTTGCCTGATTTGGATGAAAATTGCAAGGATGGTACCCCTTCTGAGGGCATGAAGGAACCAAGTTTCAAGGAGATAGGTGCAGGGTTTTTTTTTGTGAAACTGCACCTCAAACTGTTTAAAGCAAAACTCATGTCACGTGTGTGTGTGTCTTAAGGCAGAGTATGATGAAAACAGCAGGCATGGTAGCCCCTTCTGAGGCCATGAAGCCTGCCAGGTTTCAAGGGGATAGTTGCAGGGGTTTCTGTGAAACTGCACCTCAAACTGTTCAAAGCAAAACTCATAACATGTGATTTGTGTGTGTGTTAAGGTGCAGTAGGATCAAACCAGCAGGGGTGGTAACCTGTAACAGGGGGCCTTCCCCGTGTTGGTTAGATTTCTGTCTGCCCACCTGTTTCTGGGCCAACCACCTGCCCCTCTTTTCCTGCCATGCCTTGATGAAAAACTGATTCAGATGTTTCCCAGGTGGGAGGCTGCCCATTTAGGTGTCTTGGGGTGACATCCATTCCACAACTCTGTACCTCCCTTAACACTGTAGCTCATGCCTTGGATGTTGCATCTTTTACCCCCTCCAGTTGTGGTCCCCTCTCTGGGACTTTTGGCTCCCCCTTAGGCCCTGGCCCCACCTTCAGGCCAGTCAGAATCTCAAGCCTCTTTATCTGGGCATGATCTCCATCCTGGCTGCTCCAGGTGTCTGAAGTGAAGTGCAAGGCTACTTGTGGACCTGTCTTGCACAGCTCCATCCTCAAATACTCCCTGTGTGCCTCATACAGGGAGGGCACCACCATCCTGCTAAAGTTGGCGTGTGCCAGCACTTGGTAGGATGGGGAGATGACCACCATGAGCCACCTGAACCTTGGCTGCTTAACTAAGAAGAAGGGCTGGCCATCCAGAGCAAGCATCTCCCCAGTGCTCTGGGTGACCTTACTTGTCTTGGGAACGTGCCCCCACTTTTCCTCAGCCTTTCCCCCACTGGTCCAGGGTAGCCTGCCTTTGCTTTTGGGCAATGGAGGCTTTGGAGAGAGAGGGGGACTTCCCTTTGGGCAAGCTCCCACTGGTGCCAGGCTGAGGAAGAGCAAGAGCAAAAGCAAGGGGGTAGTACCTCCTGATATGCATCAGCATCTCTGTGGTGCTGAAGTGTTTCTTGTTCTTGCTCCAGCTGGTCTTGGATCAGCAGTGAAGGCAGATAGCATATGTGGGATAATTTGCCACCTCAAAATGATCCCACACTACACTTCCCCCTAGCTTCTGGAGTGTGGGTGGGGGATCCTGTCTTATCCCCCTCCTCAGCAGGCTGAGGTACAACAATAGGGGAAGCTGAGACACCTGCCCCCACAACCTCCTCTGCAGTGCCTTCTGGAAAAAGAGACCTGGCTCTAGGGGAACTTTGAGAGGTGTGGAACACAAATTCAGATTCCACTTCCTTCCTCAGAATTTCCCTGGCTATGGAATTGAGCTCCTCTGGTTCCAGATCCAGCTCCTCCTCTGGTCCTGGGATGCTCACAGTGGAAACTGAAGTTGGGGTGGAGGAGATTGTCATGCTGGTGGTGCTGTGGGTTATTATTACTGCTGGAGTTAGTGGAGGTGGGGCAGAAGCAGACACCTCCTTGCTGCCACTAGCAGCAGAAGCCTCATGCCTGCTAGGGAAGGTGTGTCTAAGTTTGGCAATGGCGGGTGGGGGAAGGAATTTACAGCTCTTCTTCCCCCCCGCCCTTGCTCCCCTGCCAAAAGATCTTGCACCTGCCTTTCCAGCAGACTTCATAATGTTTGTTGTGCTTGAAAATGTGTGCATGTGTGTGTAATATATCTTCTATATGTTTACTATATCTTCTTCTATCTGCTTACTATATTTTATACCTGTAATATATTGGAGAGGTGTATCTAACTCTTTCCAAAAAGAGAGACTAGCAGGATACTGACTAGGAAGCCAGTCACTTCAGCCAGCCACAGTACCTTTCAGATGCTGTTGATTCTAGAGATACAGCTCACAAAAGGGACAGAAAGGCTTTACACAGAACCTTATATGCTGCTTCTCTGTCCTTCCCCAGAGCACTGGGATTAGAAGGGACCTCAGGGACAGATTGCAGATACTGACCAGCTACAGATGTCAATATCAGAGCAGTCCTTCCCCCCGCCCCCACCCCTCTCCCCTCTTCTGAGTTTCTGTTTCCCTGAAAGCCCAGCTCAAAAACTCCAAAATGTTTTGGATGATTTCATTTTGTTTCATTTCATAGCCTTCCATTTTGTTTCAGATTCGGTGTTTCAGGCCCTGAAAAGAGCCAAAACACCTCCAAAACTAAATGACTGCCAAAAATTCATACCATCCTAATAAGCATGTAAAGAGTTATTTTGTTTTTTGAAAGAGATGACTTAAGTGCCTTACTCAATGAAGGTTTTACCATATGAATTTGACATGGATACCTCCCTTCCACCCACAGTTAAAGGACTAAGCCTTCTCCTTAACGTTCATATTGGCAAGCTTAGGACACCCTCCACTCAGTTTGCTGGCTGTATTGAATCCTGTTCTGAGGCAACTCTGCCCATGAATGATGTAGTGAGATTGGGTTCCCTCTACACATGGTGATCCCAAGGCTTCTGCCAAGAAATAAGGATTACCCCTCTTAGTTTCACCTCACATGTACACTCACTTTTAAGTGAGTGTCTAGTTATATACTCTGTACAAATTATTGTATTTTATAAAACCATTATCTTCAGCCATGTCCTCTATTTGTTTAAAGCAGTAGTTTTCAGCCAAAGGTCTAGGGGTCTGTGAAAAGTGGCTGTAAAGATGGTGGCCCTGCCCGAAAGGAGAAAGCACAACTGGTACTGCTGCTGCTGCTGCATCTCCCCCTGTGAGCCAGCAGGCAGAGCATGGCCAGGCAGACCCACCTCATCCTGCTACCACCTCTGCTTCGTGCAGGATCTGGCAATGCTATGGCCCCTCTACTCACCTGGTGATATCATTCTACAAACTGGGATGGAGTGCGAGTGTATTTTCACTACACACACAGATTTCCAGAGGGGTCTGTACTCCCATTCAAAATTTTAGGCATCTGAGAATTAAAAGAAAGTTGAGAACCGTTGTTATAAAACAGTGTTGCTTCACTGGAAATAAGATTACATCTACATCAGTTGTGGATGTAGCTAGTTGTATTTTGGATAACTTGAGAAAGAAAAATAGCAAAGTGAACAATTCATAATCTCAGTCTCATTAAGTACATTAAATAAAAGGTCTGTATCTGCATTGATGGCCAGGATTCCTTAGGTAGAGAAAGGTAGTATAACCAATTCAGAAGATAGGAAAACAAATTACCCAAGAAAGCAGCTACAGGACATAACAATGTAAACCTTACAATCATAATGACACTCAAACTTACTATTGGGAGCTTTTGTGGAACTCTGTTTTATGAAGAGAATGTAGTGGAAATACAGGGCAGTATCATTACTTCAGAATCAAATAAGATACACAAGCCACTACAAAATTCCAGGTATGAAGGATTGTTTTAGGCATTATTAATTATATTAGTACTAATTGACTTATGAGGAGAGGCTGTGGGAACTGTCTTGTTTAGTCTGGAGAAGAGAAGACTGAAGCTGGATTTAATAGTAGCCTTCAACTAACCTGAAGGGTGGTTTCAAAGAGGATGGAGCTGGGCTGTTCTCAGTAGTGGCACATGACAGAACAAGGAGCAACAGTCTCATGTTGCAGCAAGGGAAGTTTAGGCTGGATATCAAAAAGAACTCTCACGAGGAGGGTAGTAAAGCACTGGAGGAGGGTACCCAGAGAGGTTGTGGAGTCTCCGTCCTTGGAGGTTTAAGACCCAGCTAGCCAAAGCCTTGGACTGGGTGATATAGTTGGGGACAGTCCTGTTTTGAGCAAGCGGTTGGATCAGATCAGTGGTTCTCAATACTTCTTACACACAAGTTAGAGCAGCTCAACAGTTTTAATTTTGAAGACAAATCAATACCCACATGGAAACATTAGCACCAATATCAACACATGGTCCTCCATTACTCCCAAGTGACATTCATCACTGTGCAATTTGTTAAATGAAAGTTACCAGTGCCCCTCACTCTTGACTCACCACTCTCTGGCCCTGCTGGTACCCCTCAGTCCCAACCCACAGCTCTTCAGCCCCTAGCCCTGCTTTTACCCCTCACCCCCAACCAGCTTCTCTCTACCCCTAGGCCTAGTGTGGGGCAGGGGGGCACAGGGCTGGCCTCCCTAGATTTATGCATCCAGTGGGCACAGGGATGCAGCCTGGCTGGACTGACATGGGCATGAGCTGCTTTCATGGCCTAATAGGCAGGACCTGGCATGAGATGGAGCGGGGCAGCAGGTATGGAGGCGTGCACTGCCCTTATCTCCTCCTGCCACCAGCAGCTCGCATGCTGCTCCCCTCAGGCAGCATGCAGATGCTGGCAGCCCACCTCCTCCCTGGGTAAAGCTGCAACCTGAGGGAAGTGACAAAAGGGTACAGTCACAGCCTGAGGGAAGTGGCTAGTGGTGGGAGGAGGTGAGGGTAGTTTGGCCCTTCTTGTCTGTTATTCCTCATGCTGCTGATGACACAGCTAGCAAAAGGGGTTCCAGCAGTGGCATCAGTGAGGCTTGCCATCCCATGCTGGATCCTGCCCACTGGGCTGTAGAGGTAGTGCCTGTCTATACCAGTCTGGCCAGGCTGCAGCCTTGTGACCACTGTGGGAGCACAAATCTGGGGTGGTTGCATCACCCTCTCCCCGCCTCAGCCCATAGACTTACTTGTGGAAAGCTGCAGGAGCTGCTCTCCATGCTGCCTGGCTGCCATGTGCATGTATAAATGGAGGTGGCACCCCCTGCCTGATCATCCTCCTCCCACTCCCTCCAGACCTAGGCAGATCCTTGCAGGCTGGAAATCTGCCAGCCTGCAAGGGTAAGCCTATGGTTTCCCCATGATTAAAAAAAAAACCATTTTCCATGATTGTTTGTAACCCTTTCATATATTCTTGTGACCCCCTTCTGGGTTGCAACCCATGGGTTGGAAAACACTGGACTAGATGACCCAAGGTCCCTTCCAACCCTAATTTCCTATGAATTCATATAACGAAACCTCTGTAAAGTCTTTTCAGAATTAAATTATATTATTGTTATCTTATGCCAAAAAATGAAACCATTACATAATCATAAACTGTTTGGCTGGCAACCGTATTCAGTTGTTCTGTCTATTTTATAGTAAGGATGGTGAAAGCACCATACCGGGGCCTGAATATAGCTAAGCTTTTTTACATGCTGAAGTCCCCAAATACACTCTTAGTTGTTTGCATCCTTAAACACTTTGCCGAATGGGGTTACTGACTACTTAAGTACATAAAATTAAGCATGTGCCCTGCTGAGCTGGGATCTAGAAATTTAAATGTTACAAGCAAGATAGAGCTCATTGTATGAATAGGGCTCAAGTGATCAAAAGGGCCATTTTAATTGAGGACATCACTGGTTTTGAGCCATAGTTCTGCTATGGTACACTGCTGCAATTCAAATTTTTATTTCATTCAATGTCAAATATTTTGAAGTCTATTTTATTGGGATGTTTTTAATTTAAATTTTTAATTAAAATTATATTCAGTTAATGCAGTGTTAAATTTAGGATTATGATCGATCAACATTAATACTTTATCACTATTAAAATGACAATTAATTTTTCATTATGGAATCTGGGGTATTTGAAAGATGTGTTATATTATTCAATTTAAGATGCTATTAGCATTCTGTTCAACAGGTTGACAGGAAAGGGAGCTTTGACAGAACTACAAAACCAACTGCAATTCAATATCCTATCAATTTAACATTAGATTGCTGTCATCTGGCACGTACTCTGCTTTGTGGCCCTCCCTACCTCTCACTTGCAGGGAAGTATGCTGCTGGAAGTCCTTGGAAAGTTCAAGGTCATGGGAGTGTCTGGGGCAGTGGAGACCTTATCACTCTGGAGCAGGGGACGCACTCAGCTGGAGTGAGGGAGAGCCACGTGCTAGGACCCACACCAATATGCTCCCACCATTCCTTCCATCTACCTCCTTGCAGCCAGACTGTCACCCACCCCTGGATGCTGAGACCCCCATGGCAACTACTGTGGACCATGTAAAACCCTGTCTTTCCCTTCTCCAGTACCCAATCTGGGTCACAAAAAACAAACAGACCTGGGGCCACTAAGAGATAAGGGTTCTTATTGCCATCTAGAGCAGTATGACGACCCATCACTGGCTCACAAAGGGTACTGCAAATATATTCAAGCATATTGCCCAGCAGATGCAAGCATGGGTCCACAACAAGGACTGGGTGCAATGTTGGGCCAAGATGAAATGGATGAAGATTCAGTACAAGCACATGCATGACACCAATAAGAAGTCTGGGAGCAGAAGGCACAGTATACCCTTCTATGAGGAGCTATCCCACTTTGTCATTATGGACAGGGCCATCACAAGCTGGCATCACCAGTAGGCAGGAGGAGGGGTTGTCAGCAGGGACCCCACCATAGGAGGAGTTGCAGGAATGTGAGGGGACATCTGGGTACTCAGGATCAGGTCCTCAGGGTGCCATGGGACACAAGAGCTGCTGCTGGCAGAAGTCCCTAGGGATGCTGGATGATTGGAGTTGGTCCTCAGAACAATGCAAGATTTAGGAGCAGAGGTGCATCTTCAACTTGGCCTGCAGTCCTTTGACAGTCTCAGGTATGTTCCTGCAATAATAACCATAGCACCCAAACCTACCAGAGCCAGGGGGAAGGGCTGAAGACTCTGGCACCAAGCAAGGATGCCTTCCTGCTTGGAACAGTATGGCTCTACCCTGCACCATGCAGCTGTGACAGGGACCCAGGCACCAGGTAAAAATGCAAAGCCCCTGAAGAAGGCAGGGGGACCATTATCTCAGCCAACCTAGTCCTGCTGCCAGGGTGACTCTCAGGTTGTGAATCTGGAGAGGCTTGCAAGTGGCTCTCCAGAATTCCTGCCCCGCATCTGATTCAATCTACAGGGAAAAGTCTGTGGGAGTCAGCTGACTGAGCCTCATAACATAGGCAATAACTGCACTGAACCACCCCCCTCCCCCAAGAAACCCCCTGTAGCAAGTTGCCAGCTAGCCTGGATCAAATAGTCCTTGAGCCCTTTCATTTGGTCCCAGCAACAGTTTCTCTCTGGGTTCAGAAACTGAAACAGTAATGCTGCAGGTTCTTCTTTTTCCCAGGGCTCAGGCAAAAGCAAACAATTCACATGAACATATCTGTAGCATATACCCAGCAACATAAGCTTCAAAGCTCCAGGTTAATCTGGACCATAGGGCTCAGTTGCTAATACAAAACAATTACAAATAAACACCCACAGCCAGGGTTAGATCTCACCCTTAAGTCTTCCTTTGAGGAGTCCCCCTTCCCTATACAAACATTATCTCCACTAGGTCCTCCTTCCCCTGCTTCATCTTCCTGTCCGGTTTACTTTCAGGTCAGCCAATCAACTTCCCCTCATTGCTGATTAACTGATCCAGCCGTGGCCCCTTAGGTAGGTGGCCTGTTACCAGCTGGTGAATTGTTCCAGCCTGCAGCCTGTTACATCACAATTGCATTCCCATCTCAGTCCCAGACAGGTCCCCGACATCACCCAAACCCTTGAAAGCAAAGCAGTCCCCCCCCCCCCCCCCCCCCTCCAAACCAGCCACGACACG